GTAGAGAACTATATAGATGATGCAGATCAATGGTAGATTTTTTTGACTCCTTGTAAAAAACAAGGCTCCCTGTAATTGTACATGTTTTGGTTTTTGATTACAAGTACCAATTTAGTGCTGATGAGTGGAATACACTTACCTTCATTGAAAAAACAAAGAAAAGCAAAAAAGTTCTTTCAATATGGAGTCTTCCCACAGGAATTGAATTTACAAATTAGCAACATGAGGAAATTTCACTAGAGATCAGTAAGTTTTTATGTCGATTCTGTGTTCTTTGGACATAGTGGTATTGACACTTCAAAGTTGTCAGCCTTCTGGGATTTTGATGAGACCTCTACTGGTATTTTCGGCACAACTGCAACTAATTTAACCTTTATGTTGTCAAAAGGAACTGTTCGAATGATTCTTCTTTCTTTATAGGAACAAATTACTTCTTTCTTTATGGGTGACAAAAAAAGCCTCTAGCTAGTTTTCTCAGGTTGTGGTCTTTATGTTGCTACTTCCTCTGTCCCAATTAAAGTGTCTTACTTTCCTTTTTGGTCTGTCCCCAAAAGGGTACCTCTTTCTATATTCAGTTAATTTTTCAATTCCAATATTCTACCTGGCAAGTTTAAGACCACAAGATTTAAAGTACTACATACATCTTTAATTCAAGACCATAAGATTCAACAGTCTTCCTTTATTTCTTAAACTCTGTATCCAGTCAAGCCGAGACACTTAAATTGGGACAGAGGGAGTACTACTGAAGGAGTGACAGGTGTTTACTTGGTACTACTTAAGGAGTTACAGATGTTTACTTGCATTAATATTCTTGTAGAGAACTCATACAGTTTTTGTTCCTTTTTGTGTGATTAGAGGTTGGTGAAAATTCCTCTGTTTCATATATCTTTCTTTCGTGCCTTTAATCTGATTGAAATCTTGATTTTGCAGGCAATATTCAGTTTGGAAGTCGGTATATTATTATTAGCGGATCTACTGATGGAAGTATTGCCTTTTGGGATCTTACTGATCATGTTGATAAGTTTATGCGGCAATTATCAGCACTTCAAATCGGAAAAGGTCTAGACAGTCAGAAAAGGCCACGTACGGGTAGAGGAAGCCAAGGTGGACGACAATGGAGATTCTTGGGCAGTCGAGTTTCTAATAAAACAATAAGTGATGAACAATTGTCGGAAGTTCCTTTCTCAAAGGGAAAGCCAGATAATGGTTTTTGTGCAACAACAGTCGCAGGAACCGGCAAAAATGTGCAACATCATGCTTTGCAAGGGATTTCCCATTCGGTAGAAAACACACGTGTATTTTCTCCAGACACCTCCACTAGCATTAAGGAAGTATTACAGAAAGCATGTCCCTTGCATGTCTTCAAAGATGTTCACCAATCAGGGGTTAACTGTCTTCATGTTTCGGACATAGATGGTCCTGAAGTTTCTGATCGGAGGTTTACATTTTATGTTCTGAGTGGGGGTGATGACCAGTCACTTAACTGTCTTAGATTAGATTTCTCTCCAACATCGATGAGGCAGAGTTCTGAAAATTCGACTTTGGAGCAAAATAGCACCAGCACATCACAGAATGTAGGTGGTGATGTTCATAATTATCAAGTGGGAAATCATGATATTAAATTTATGTTGCATGATAAAATCACCTCAGCTCACAGCTCTGCCGTCAAAGGTATACGTTCAGATTTATTTTTTCATTGAATCTGCATACTTGTCTTTCATTTTCGTTTTGTTTTGGGTCGTGAATTTTCATTGAGTCATTTATCTGCAAGAGAAAGCGCTAGCTGTTTATCTTGCACGGTCTAAGTTGCGCGGACTCTTCACTTTTGATGCCACACCCGTGTCAAATTATACACTACTTTTTAAGAATCCAACATGCACCCGCTGACATTGTTGAAGAGTCCGAGCAACATAGTTCACGGTAGATAGGTGCTATGGTCCAGAAAAAATTAAATAACTATAGAAGAGGGATAGTGTAAACCCAAATTTGGCCTTTATCCTGAAGGTTCGCTAAAAGAATCATCTCCTTAATTCTTGCTTCTATGATTGGGTGTCCAACTTGTACACAAGCCCGAGTATATTTTTCTATCATATCTTTACATAGTAGAGCCTGCACCCTGTGTGTCAAATCTGATCTTTTGGTGTAGTTCAGTTTTTTCTCATTTCACATCTTGCTGCCTTTGGTGTCAAGTTTTTACCAGCCGTTTCCTTTTAATTGATTCCTGTGTCATGTTGTTTTAAAACCATTCAAATGTGATCCAACAATTTGGCTTCATTCACCCATTTTGAATTAGTTAATTTGTATGTATTTATTGAATTTTTTTAAAGAAAAAAATATATAGTTTGTAAACTCATTTGGCTCTATAAAGCCATTAGAAATCTGTATTTATGCTTATACCTATTTAAATGAGTACTGACAAAATTATGTCAATATTTTTCTTAACAAAATGAGTACTCTTATAAAGCTTTATTTTCTGGATTCTCCAAACTCCTGTATTTCATTTTTTGCCAACATCAATTCTATGAAACAAGAAAGCAGAGATAATGATTTGGAAAAGAGATGTAATTTCCTAATTGGGGAAAATACTTGAAGGCAAGCTCTTTCTGGCTCTATCCCATTTTTCACTTGCTGCTTCCCTTAGTATCATTTGCCGTATCCATCCAAATGTTCGAGCTACTTTGGTTCTTTTTTTTAAAATTATTTAATCAACCTCATTTTTGAACTATTGTAATGCACAACTTATTCTTTCCGACCCATCGAAGGCCTACTTTTTTTTGGCTTACTGAAATTCCACCAGCACTTTTTACTCTCCCATCCATTAAAGAATTAAACCCAGGGTAAAGAGATCCTGCTAAAAAGAAAAACAGAGCAAAGAGGCTGTTGTACCGAGGCTCCTGATAACTATGGCTAAAGATGTGATTGGTGCTAGTAATGAAGACTCTGCACTCTGATTTCGAGCTGGTTGTACATGATTTGACTTGAGATTGCAGAGAGCTAAAACTTATGAAGTTGGCGCTTTGCCTTATTTCTGGACATGGAAGATGGTTAGTGATAGTACTGAACTTATAGTAGTTATGGAAATGATGATAGAACTAGCAGCCGAAACAGGGTGAATGTATTTCAGTGAATTCATCCTTACTAGATCAGCCTATACCAAAAGGGGTACTGTTTGACAAGCAAAAAAGGGTTCCCTTGACTATGAAGGATAACACTGAGAAAGATCAATTGCAGAAAAATCTGTCATGCAAAAACTGCCCCTCCTTACCTTTTCCATGCCTTACCTCATTCCTTTATAAATTCTGATGCAACTTATCCTTTTGGACCTAATGTAACAAACTACTGGAGTCTCCAAATAAAGACAACACAAATCTGAACCGAATAAAAAAACTTGAAAAATAAGTTTTGTTTGTGGTATTTAACAGAATCTTGTGTAAAATGAGAAAGTACTTGTATTTCTAAACCCTGTCTATAGTTATTCTCTCTCCTGTTCGTTATGCATTGCCCACACTCACAAGACACCAATAGTTACAAGGAGTTGCCCTCCTATCATTTTCTCCATCTATATGCTCATTACCCATTGATAACTATCAGAATTTTATTTTTTTTGGTCAAATGACAAAGATACAATCATCAATTACATGTAATGGACCTGGAGCTGATGTTGGTCTTGTTCTCTGCAGGTGTTTGGACAGATGGTCGTTGGGTATTTTCTACTGGTCTTGATCAGCGCATCAGGTGTTGGCATCTTGAACAGCAAGGCAAGTTAACTGAGCACAAACATATGGTTGTTAGTGTACCGGAGCCCGAGGCATTGGATGCTAGGGCCTGTGCAAGGTGGGTAATCCTTTCTTTCATGCTTGACTGTTGGGTCTTATTTAATCTTCCATTTTTCACTTTCTGAAAGCCAACCTCCACCTATCTTTCCCCTTACTTTAAAATAAGATCGCCTGCATGTCTTATTCAGGAACCATTATCAGATTGCAGTCGCTGGGAGGGGAATGCAAATGTTTGATTTTTTCGCACCTGATGACATGAAGGACGGAAACTAAGGTTTTTCCCTGTTGTATCACACATTTTGAGGAATACAAAGTGGGGGAGTTTTCTCCGTTTTGAGTAAGAAGTATGAAATACTGTAGCATATGTTATTATACATACAAGAAATTCTTATTTCTTGTAGACTGTATCATTAATATTTGGTATTTAGGCATTCAGAAGGTAAATTATATGAGGTACCAACGTTTACTGCAATACTTGTCGCAAGAAAATAATCTTGTATGTTTTAGTTATTAGGTAGCTTTTGCAGGCCAAGAAAACACTAGTGGTTAGTGAGATACCCGAGAATTTGTATAATATCCTGAGGCATCTTAGAAGGTGAAACTTTTGATGTACCTTTCACCATAAGCATTGTAATGGTCGTATTGCTTCTGATGTTCATTGTATCTGTCAATTTTCTTCTGCTTGTCATATAATGCTTTTCTTGTCTATGCAGTTAGTTTGATGCTATCATTGTTAAACTTTTCTGTTCTTGTTATATGCTATCATGTTGTGTGGGATATTCTTAGAACTTTTATTTCGTTCTATTTTTATTTTTTTTCCATCACTGATGATATGTGGGATTTATCGTGCAGTTTTTCAGCTGAATGTAGTACTCGTGTAATGTTGTTGAATAGTAACTCTGCACTTCTAAGTTTTTATCGTTTGATTAAGCTCGAGGAGCATATGCAGTTGACTGAAGTGAAAACTTCCTGAAACTATTATGACTGAATTTGAAAGAAGTAATTATGCAATTTTTTTAATAACGAACTCGATTGCTTGTTTATCCCAAGATAGTAACATCTTTAAACATTTCTTTGATTATGCTCTTGTATTTTCTGAATCAAAGTTTAGTTTCGGCGTTAGAGTGACTACTAATTAGTGACAAACATTTGCAAGTCACTGAAACAAAACTTGGGAAGTTCCAGAGATAAAAAAGAAGAAAAAAACTTGGACTTGCTCAATACTGCATTGAAACCCAACCCAAAAGAGCTGGAGAAGATTGAAGACATAGTTTGTTTAAATTAACATGCTGAAAATGAATATAAACACATTATCCTCTTTATGCTTCAGTACACAACGAGATTGTTGATTCTTTCAACGAGGTTGAAGGAAAACAAAAAAAGTAAGAGATTGATCCCTCGATAACAAAACCAAGAAAATAGAGATAGTGAATGATGGAAAATCCCTCAATTTGGTAGATGGATTGAATGTCATGTAGTATGCAATGCAGCCAAAATCCATAAAGACAAAGATAGGTAGTAGATGAGATAGCTTGATAGAAGAATCCACCTCAATGGTCCTATTCCAAAACCAAAAAAAGAACAAAACCTCAGTTAAGATTAATCAAGTGTAAGTATAAGGTCTAAGTGGAGTGTGGAGACTAACCTGTACAAGCTACAAAAGAAAGCAAGAATAGAAAAGCCACAGGAAGAACAGCTATTGTAATAGATTTTCTTACTTTGGTACCACTTTTCATTTCCAAAAAAGTATTGAGACACAAGGAACTTGAATGTTGTATAAGTGGATAACTGTAGTGTGAGTAACTCACAGTGAGTTTGGTAGATGCCTAATGGTGAACAAGGTTTTTCATTGCATTTATGTACACATGTAAAGAGAGAGAGAGAGAGAGTGAAAAAAAAAAAAAAAGGCCTAGCACTCTTTACAAAAAGGTTGTTGGGCGTGTGTCAGATCCTATATGTTTTGTAGGATCCAACACATGTGTCAGTATTTTTGGAGAGTCTGAAAGACAACTATAATATACTGAGGTTATTTTATGACCATTTTTTAGTTTTTGACGGTCAGCTTACCACAACCTTCCTTATTTATCTGAATTATCTTATTGGTTTCTTGATGTGCGTGAATGCCTTTATGTCTTTATTTTAAGTAGTTTTCCACAATTCCCATTACTTAGATTAAGACAAAGGCAGCAGAAACAGTGATGTGGCCAGGACTATTATTAATGGAATCAATGGTAAGACTGGATACTGAAGGTAATAGAGAATCCAAGAGTGTATGCCCATATAAAATTTATATAACAAGTAGTTATTTAATGGTGGAAAAGGATAGGCTATTCTTTGTTTTCTTGTGGAGTGGCAGGCCAAGGATAATGGTATGGCCACATCAACAATTGCCACTAAATCTGCACTAAACAACAAAATTGGGCTTATTCTGGATTTAAGTATGATATATTCAGCCTTGTTGAGGTTCTTACTATTTAGCTAATGGTAAATTCAAGAGTTTCACGAAAGAGCGTTTAAGATTTAATATATACATATAAGAAGTAACATTTGATCTAATAGACAATATAATTTGTCGTGTTCAGTTGATCACGCTTCAACATGTATAGTTTGAGTAAATTATACCTAGTATCCTTCGAAGTGTTTGGTCTTGAATTTTTATTTCCGCTTAATAATAATTCTTTAAAGATGATCTTAACTTAAAAAAATCACTTGGAGATTAAAATAACAACTTACGCCTCGTGGGCAACATTTTACACTGTATCGTTAAATCTTACTTATAACTCTTGTCTTAGTTGCAAAATCTTAGCTCAGGGACTTTAACAAAAACTAACTTATGCCCCATGGGCAACAATTTACATTATATCACTAAGTCTAAACTATGGTTATTCTATAACTTTTGTCTTAGAGGAATAACATAGCTTAGGGGCTTCTAAAAAAATTATGCTTCATGGCAATAGTTTACACTATTTCGCTAAGTCTAATTTATGAGGTACTCAATAACTTACACCTTATTAGGCAAAAGTTAAAACTTATGTCTAATGGACAATATACTTAAGTTCTAATTTTTGCCTATAAGACAAAACTTCTGATCAATTGTATAGGTTCACTGTGTCTTGAACGTCTGCCTTATGGGCAAAAATTTGTTATAAGCGGGGCAAAATGGTAACAACACATTTCACTTAGAAGCATCATCCTCACAAAGTCACATTTTTATATAAACCATTTTATTGAAATCATGAGATTGAATTTCTCAACTTCACCCTCTTGAATAAACTAATCTCGAATTTTTTCTTTCCATACAGGATAAAGGAAATATTATTGACTCTGTTGTAAAGGAGTGGAAAACTTGAAAATTTTATTTCAACCCTTTTAGAGGGTCATTTATAGGAAGTGACAACTTAGATATATCAGCTCATAGGAATCCTTTTTCTTGGAAACTCTGAATGCAATCATCAAACATTTCATTGAGACTCTTTAGAGGAGGCAGCCCCAATTGAGTTATCTTGCTGGTGTCCATGCTATGTGGGATATCTTCCCCTTGTTGGTTGCCACACCTAGGGAAAAAAATGAAAGAGATTAATTTCTAAGCACTGACGTTTAACATGTAAAAGATATGTACAAAATCAATATACTTATTAGATTATCACAAAATTGACATCGAGTAAAAATGGTAACGAATATGTTATCACATGTTAAGATTCACTAGTAATGTAAAAGATCTTTACACGATCAATGTATCACTTAAATTAAAGCACTCAAGGGTGTGACTTAGTGGTCAATGAAGTGAGTAGAGAACCATGAGGTCTGGAGTTCAAATCCCACCAGAGGCAAAAACACTAGGTGATTTCTCCCCATCTGTCGTGGAAGGCGACACTTATCCCGTGAAATTAGTCAAGATGTGCTCAAACTGGTCCGACCACCACTTCTTTTAGAAGAAGAAAAACTTAAAGTTACATAAAATTGTTTCACTTACTTGTTCTCATGAGGATAAGATGGATACTTGGTCCTTAACAAGTCATTGATCTGTGACATGTGTCTCACTGAGTTTGAACATATGTATCTACCTGAAGCTTTTTGTTCTTCCATCACTAAAATATGAGCTCCCACAACATCCTCAATGTGAACAAACCCCAACCTTTTGTTGGCATACTCTCCAATCATACCTAGTCAACAAGAAAAAAAAGGAAAAGAAGAAAAGTGTTATGCCTTTAATAAAGCGTGACGAGGTAGAACTAAAATAAGTTGTCTCGAAAAACCAACAATCTCTTGAAATTCATGTTAGAGATTTATATGTCAGTAGAAAACATAGTGATCTTTCAGTACATCCATATTTTTATTTTTATTTTTCATAATATGCAATAGCGTGTTACAAGAAGCATCACACAGGGTTTAGGAAAGGGCAGCACCCCATAAGGTTGGTGCTTGGAATGCAGCCCTTTCTCGAACCTTGCGTGAAGCAGCCAGTTCTAGTATCAGCAAAAGGTACAACCTTTAACCGTGCCCAATATGATTTGCAATGTACTGGTAGGCTGAGGAGCAAGCAAAGGACCCACAACAAAGGATGGGTTTACCACCACCAAATCAATACCACATTCCTCAGCTACTCTCCAAGCTTCTTTTTCAGCTTTAGTCTTAGCATAAGCATACCATAGCTGCACTTAGCAAGAAAAGAGGTCACAACAACCGTCCTCTATTATAACATTTCATTATAACGGTCAAGTTTTGTTTGGAACGGATTTTCATGTTACGTTATATTATATGTTCTGTATAACAACATTTCGCTATAGCAACTAAAAATTATGCAGACAAACATACATACATTGTATTTTTGGCAATACTGAAGGTCACTCCAGTGGGATTCATTGAGAGGGGAAATCTGTTGTGCGTCTTCTCTGTATCTAATCGAAGAGCAAGAAGAGGTCAACACAAGCCTCTTCAAGGTGGATGATTTTTTGCAAGAGTTGAGGACATTCAAGGTACCATTTACACATGGATCAATCAGTGTTTTCTGCAATAACATTGTAAGGTTCAGCAAGGTAAAGTTGATTAATTAATGTTTGAGAAGTAGTCTCACTAATCAAAAAATTAAAATTAGAAATGAAGAATTTAAGAGGTGTGTGAGGGGCGTTGAAAATTGATAAGAAAATAGAGCTTGGACCTTATACTTTGTTGCTTAATTAATGTGAGACAATCTAACAACTCCATAGCCCACTCTAGTAGTCATTCATTTCTCATGAATCGTAGTCGAAAGAGTTGGTTGGCAGTTCAAATCTTAGAGGGAGTTGAAAAGAGGCCTTTCAATTTGTTCAAAGTAACTACGGACAAATCATTACAGACGGTCAGATGCTTCTAGGGGTCGCTCATATTGAATTGTCAGCTCTAATAACATGACAAAAGAAAATGAATATTAGGCCTACCAACGAAAAATTAGTTCATGAGCTGAGAATTGTCTATGAAGTCATTCACTCAACTAATGTGGGATAATCTAACATCCTACATGCCATGTCAATGCCCAACATTGAGTATAAATAACAAACGAACATTGTGTCTAACTCAACTGAAAAACTAGCTCATGATCGAATTGAGAATTATCGAAGATCATATAAGGAGTCAACAACTCGTTTAATTTCCTCAACTGATGCAGGACAATCTAAACAAAAATGAAGTAAAAAGGGTTAAGGAAGGTAAAACTGGCCTGAATATTGTCATCATAAGGGACCAAAACAGGTGAAGCAGTATGAAAGACTCCATCAACTCCCCGAATGGCATCATCAAAGCTACCTTCCACTAATAGATCAGCTTTCATAATCTTGAGCCTCTCTTTAGCACCATCTAGCTCCCACAAGAACCCCACTTTCTCCGCATTATCTGTTAAACTTGAAAATCTGAGTTTTTGTAGTTGTAATTTTTGGAATTTGAAGTTGTGTTCGAGCCAATCTAAAGTTTTGTGAGTGGAAGTCCAAAAACTTGGAAACAACAACAACAATAGACTCAGTGAAATCACACAAGTGGGGTCTGGGAGGATAAAATGTACGCAGACCTTACCACCTCCATAAGATAGAGAGACTGTTTTCGAAAGACCTTCAGCTCAAATACGGCAAATCAAGATACAAAGAAGAAAATATAACAAGTCACAAGGAAACAGTGCAAAGTCTACCATAAGAGAGCAACAACAATAACAAAATAGTGTAATAATCGAAACACAATAAACAACCTACTAGTATAGATTATTAAAAACAAAAATAACCAACCATCATATGCAAGACAACACTACACTTCGGTAACTTGAAAATATTTGAAAATCATGACGAAATAGATATTTAAAAATAAATTTTCAAAAATTACTCGTAAATTCTATGGTCAAACGCTGGCTTACTTACCAGGATCACGAACAGTGGTTCTTACAATATGACCCTTTAGGAGGAGGGCTTTAATAAGGTAAGCTGCAATGAACCCTGTACCCCCTGTTACACAGTATTCTGGCATTTTCTTGGTTTCTTTTTCTTCTCCACTTTCACAGGCTTAAGTCATGTTATTTAAAGAGAGCTAGATGGAAAATATAGGTAACTTTTTGGTACACCTTCAAACTTTTGTGGGAAAGAAGAAATAAAAAAAAAGGGTATTTGGGTGGACCAAGTAGGTTACTAGTCACTTTAATGCCTGCTGTCAACTTAAGTGTTTTTAGAAGGCAGGACATTTTACCTAGCACGGATAAGACTTAAGAGAAAGCATAGGAGAAATTAAAACGAGCCTGGAGAAGAAACAAGTCTAGGAATGTCAAAGTAAACCTTATCACTACCTTTTCGAGGTAGATAAACTATTTTTGAAAGATAGTTGGGTCAAGTAAATTAAAGCAATAATTAAACGGGAAAAAAATGAT